TGAAACTTTTGTACAAAATATCTGTGAAATCTGAGCTTGATGTATCAAATACTTCACAACATATGCGTATATATTTTCAGGTTTTTTTAATGTTCGATTTCAAATTTCAATGTGAGAAAAAATGCATTAAACGGGCAGTTACAAAGAAAAACCTTGAAATTTATTCGATAAATCAAGCTACAGTTCCACAGATCCATAGTTTACAATAAAAAAAACCTCAAGTAAATCAGAGATGGTTGAGCAGAAAGCCCCCTGATGATATCATGAGGAATAACTTTTCTGCCAGGCAGCGATTTTATTGGATCAATGGAGGAAATCTGATGACAAGCAACAAAAAAAATCACAAACATTATGATCAAACCTCAGTAGTTCCAGTCGACACTGTGGATTCTTCAGCGCAGCAGACAGCAGCTTCACTCCGGAGTCGTGCAGCCTGTTGTTGGTCAGATCCAAGTCCCTCAGGCTCGCAGACTGGGAGCTGAGAACCGAGGCCAAACCGTCACAGCTTTTCTCTGACAGATTACAGCCGCTTAACCTGGAGGGAATTTTTGAAAACAAATCATTATTTATGTAAATGTTAAATATTACAAAATAAGTATTATATCGGCCTTTTTGTGCCAAATATTAGTGATACTTCTGGGAAATACAGGAGGCACAGAAAAGGTCCTAAAGGCGTCACACAGCCAAGTAAAGTCTGCTCACACTGACTAGAAGAACCTACTGGTCATGAAAACAACTTTTTATTTGTAATGTGTTGTTTTTCTCTGTTAGTGGGTCGACTGAAAAACTTTCAAAATGTCGAACTCTGGTCCTGGAGGGCCACAGTCCTGCATGTTTTAGATGTTTCCCTTCTTCCAACACACCTGATTCAAATGATCAGCTCATCATCAAGCTCTGTAGAAGCCTGATAAGATCCTGATCATTTGAATCAGGTGTGATGGAAGAAGGGAAACATCTAAAACATGAAGGATTGCGGCCCTCGAGGACCGGAGTTCGACACCCCTGTCATAAAGCATCAAAATTCACACGTATATTCCTGACAGGGAGGTGGGTATGGATCATGGACAGTTAGCTGGACCTCTAATGGTTTATTTGGAATTACCAGTGTGATGCTTTCTGTTATAAATCCAGTCATTCACAGATCATGTTTAGGTAGCCAAATGCAAATTAATCTCCAGGATTAACACCTTTATATTTAAGTTTTTTTCTTTGTATCTGTCCTACCAGTTTACTAATGTAGTGTCGTTTTGGAACTTTTTTTCTTTTACTGACAAAAAGGAACAAACACAACCTTAAACTCTGTCTTACTTCTGTATCTACTTACAGAGCTTTCTTGGAAGCTTTGACCACCGGCAGCAGCCTCACAAGAGCCTCCTCTGAATCAGAGTATTTCTTCAGGTCAAACTCGTCCAGATCTTCTCCTGATGACAGTAAGATGAAGACCAGAGCCGACCACTGAGCAGGAGACAGTTCATCTGTGGACAGACGTCCTGATCTCAGGGACTGTTGGACCTCCTCCACTAGAGAACCATCCTTCAGTTCATTCAGACAGTGGAACAGGTTGATGCTTCTCTCTGCAGACACATTCTCATTGAGCTTCTTCTTGATGTGCTCCACTGTTTCCTGATTGGTCCAGGAGCTGCTCTCCTTCTTTGTCATCAGCCCTCCTAACAGCTTCTGGTTGGTCGGCAGTGACAGACCCAGGAGGAAGCGCAGGAACAAGTCCAGGTGTCCGTTTGGACTCTGTAAGGCCTTGTCTACTGCACTTTTGAGAAGGCACGATAGTTTTGATTTTTCCCTTAAAAGATTCGACCACCAGATTTTTGACTGCGGCAGCAGATTGATGCCGGAGTTTGTCAAAGTCAGAAAGACGTAAAGAGCAGCCAGAAACTCCTGAACGCTCAGATGGACGAAGCAGAACACCTTGTCCTGGTACAGTCCTCTCTCCTCTTTAAAGATCTGTGTGAACACTCCTGAGTACACTGAGGCTGTTCTGATATCGATGCCACACTCTGTCAGGTCGGACTCATAGAAGATCAGGTTTCCTTTCTGCAGCTGCTCAAAAGCCAGTTTCCCCAGAGACAAAACCATCTCCCTGCTGCCTGGATTCCAGTGTGGATCTGTCACAGCTCTTCCATCATACTTGATACTCCAAAGCTTGGCCTGAGCCACCAGGTAGTGGATGTACATCTCAGTCAGGGTGCTGGGCAGCTCTCCTCCCTCTCTGCTTCTCAGCAGCTCCTCCACAACTGTAGCAGTGATCCAGCAGAACACTGGGATGTGACACATGATGTGGAGGCTTCGGGACGTCTTCATGTGGGAGATGAT